TACACAAAAACATTTTGCCAAAAGCAATTACTTTATAAGTTGTGATTTGAAAAAAATAATAATACTTAATATTAATCAAAATTAAATTAAATTTAAAAACAAAATAACTCATATAAATCTTAAAAAAAAAAAAATTAAAACAAAACAAACAACATTACTTTCGTGAATACAAATATATATAAGAAAGTTGAAAAAATACTCATTAACTTTTTGAATAAAAAAGTATAAAGCAAATAATATAAATTTTGTGCACATTTCTTTGAAGTTAAATATTTAATTTAATTATTTAAATGCTAAGTCATAAATATTTCTATTTATATTGAAATATGAGTGGAAAATAATAAATTAAATATTTGTTGATGTATTTTTTTACAAGCAGAACTCCCAAAGCGCTTTAGAAAGCAGAACTAACCGATGAAAATCTTGAAGGAGTGTACATAAAATTAAAAAAAAAAATTTGAATTGAGTGAAGTCAAGAAATGAACGAACCAGACGTAAAAGCTATGTTGTTTAAAAAAGCTGGAAAAATAAAATAAATATAAAATAAAAGTAATTAATTAGAATAAAAGTTATTAAGTGAAATTATATGAAACAAAGTATTAAGCATACTAAAAAAGCAACAAAAAATTAAGAAGCAAATTTAATGATACAAAATAAGTAAACTGTAAGAGTAAATATATAATAATAATAATTATATATTTGAAGTAGTGAAATAACAAAGAAAAAATTCGCTTTACCGACAAAAATAATTGAACGAGCGTAACAAAACACTTTTTGACACGCAAACACAGTATATGAAAGTTGCAAATCAAGCTAAAATTTCAAAACTAAATAAATAATTTAAACAACTACATTCTGAAAACAAAAAATTCAACTGCTGCTACTGAAAACTAACCGACGCTACTTTAAATACAAAACCTAGCAATAATTTTGAATATCTCAGCATACTTCTCGGCTGCGCAACCACCCAAATTACCGCTACTTATATAAGAAAAGCTCGATGAATGGAATTCAAACGCTATTTAAAACAAGAAAATTCGAAATGATGTAATAACTCAAAAATTTCTGCTAAAGATATTTATTTTAGGAAGTATTTGCAACAAAAAGCACGCCAAAAAATTTGAAAAAAAAGAACAAAAAGTATCATAAGACACACAATTCAGAGAGCAACGATTATAACGGTTTATCAGCAACTTAGTATACATATTAAAATAAAATCAATTAAAATAAAATAAAAAAGTTTTAAAGCAAATTAAAGTATTACACAAAATCACCGAGAAGCATAAGTAATATATATACATACGTATTCAAAGAAAAATATATAAATAGACTCTTATACACATCTAGATGTGTATAAGAGACAGGCTTATATAACTTTAATTTTTTCAGAAAATTTAT